CACAATTGCATCAAAAAAATTTGAGGAAGTTACAAAAAAAAAAAAAAAAAAAAAAAAAAAGGAAGCATATTGTTATATTAGATAAAACACACAAGCAAATTATTCACAATTGCATCAAATCCTTGTTCACAAATTGAAGAAATACAAGACTCTTGAATTATAATAACAAAAGCGGTTTCATGCAATAATAATAATAATAATAATAATAATAATAATAATAATAATAATAATAATAATAATAATAAATTACCATCCAATACCTCTGTAGAGAGCTTACATAGTCATGCTCCTCCAAAACAGCCAGCAAAGTTATTATTGCAGCCTTTGTTTTTCGAAGATGTTGAACCCCTCTTCAAACGTCAATAGTTGAGGGTCCTTTACTGAAGAAGCATTATTGAAGAGCAAACTTTGTAGCAGCATTCTAAGGAGAGGATAATAGCTGTCTCATTTAAGGAATTGCCTGTATGAGTTGATCATAGACTGCATCATGGCAAAACTAAGTATGAACTTGTGAAAAAAAAAATCTTCTCAGTCTCTTCCAATTCATCCTCACGGTTAACTGCCCAATTCTTGTCTTCTAACAAAGCGTTATCAATGCATACTTTGTTTTGTTGAAATATTGTACCCCTCCTTAAACCTGGCACTTGAAGGCTTTCTACTGAAGAAACAATACGGATCCCCAAGAGCAAACTCTGTAGCAACATTCCAGGGATCTCATTTGCCTGTACGAGTTGATCATATAGTGCATCATGGAGAAATAAATTATGAACTTGGGAACAAAAATCTTCAATCTCAGTTTCTTCCAATTCATTGCCAAAATTCTATCGCAAGCGCAAACTCTGTAGCGGCATTCCAGGAGAATATATTAGCAAATGGATGTCAACCTGTATCGAATAGCACAACATTGGGCAGCAAAATGTAGAAATTTAGCCAGAGAAACATCTCCACTTGTATTTGTTGCATTATCAATCAACATATAAAACAACCATATTGTTAATTCTGTCAAATCATCCTAGACATTTAGTCTTGCCTCACCCAGTTAAAACTCACAACCGTTAACAATCTGAAGAGACTAAAGCAGACAGAAACTTTAGATTATAGATATCATAGAATTTTGAACCTGACTGATTTCTATTCCTAGCGTAGTTCACATCACACGGATCAGCTTCTGAAGAGGCGTGTCTTGGATGAATGTGTTTTTGTTTCATTTCACTTAATCTGCGTTTATACACGGTCTTAGAGCTGTTGCTTATGGATTTAGGAATAGAATATCATGAATTTTGGTCACAATAACTTACCTTCAGAAGAGTTTGGATAAAGATTAGATGAACTTGCGTTCAGTCCATATTTTCACACCTGTTATAATATACTGCTGCATTCACCTTTGGAACTATTTTCAAGCCACTGGATTCCCTTCCATGCCAATCTGGTCATCTCTAGAAGACCTGAAAAGAAACCCATCAATTTGGACTGATAGATCAGTAACAGACATTCAAAGCATGCTTCTGTTTTTATAATAATTACAAGGAAGCACGGCACATTATGTCAGGTAGTGGTGTCAAATGAGTCAAGCCAGGCCAACAAGGGTACACAGTCTGTGTGCAGGCCGTGTTGTTGGTCCATTGTTTATTGAGTTTTCTAGTAATTAATTATACAAAATGCTAAATTTGGAAGATTGAAGTACTGAACAAGAACTAAACTTAGTTTATTCCTATTATCTAAACACATCCCTCCTCCTTTATCCGGGCTTGGGACCGGCTATGTTTAGACATAGGCGGAGTTGAAATTATACGCGTAGTAATGTAATACATAGATTTCTATGTATTTGTTATTCTGTGAACAATTTTTTTTAAAATAAAAATCTAAAATTAATTATATCTTATACAATTATTTCAAATTGTTGGCTATGGAAACTCTTGTAGACCAGAAGTTCATGTCACAGCATTAACTACACCCCCACACTCTCTACCTTTCACCAATTCTTCTTTAGGGGCAGCCAGTTCTAAAGGCAAGGAGTAAACCATCAAATATTCCATAGAAAATTCAACAAACTATTGTCAAGAAAATCACTGTTGCATAAGGAATATTACCATCAAGAAACAACAAATCTTGAAATAGATATAAATTCTAATGAGCTAGAAGGAGAGAGTGGCTATTAAAACCGAACGGGTGTCGAAGTTAAATCACTGACAACAATTAAATTGAATGTAATTAATCTTTAACAAGAATCCAATCAAGTACAAAATAAAATCAAATTAAAGCATGTTTATTCAAGATGCAAGATTGGTTATGAGGACGAAGAACCCACTTCAAGTCAACATTGACAACAATCAAATCGAGTGCAATTAAATCTTTGACAAGGATCCAATCGAGTGCAAAATTAAATCGAATAAAGCATGTTTTTACACAAATTATCTGATATTGCCTTCCAAGATTAATGATGAAGATGATGAAACCACTGTTAAGTCAACATTGACAATAATCAAATCGTGAGTAATAAAATCTTCCACAAGAATCCAATCGAGTTCAAAATAAAGCATGTTTACCTTCCAAGATTGCAAAATTGGTGATGAAGACGATGAAACAACTGGAAGTCAACATTGACAACAATCAAATCAATGTAATTAATTCTTTCACAAGAATCCAATCGAGTGCAAAATCAAATCGAATTAAAGCATGTTTACCTTCCAAGATTGGTGATGAAGACGATGAAACCACCATAAGTCAACATTGACAACGATCAAATCAATTGTAATTAAATTTTTCACAAGAATCCTATCGAGAGAAAATGAAATCGTATTAAAGCATTTTTACCTTCCAAGATTGCAAGATTGGTGATGAAGAAGTAAGTCAGCCTTGACAACAATCAAATCGATTTAATTAAAGCTTTCACAAGAATCCAATCGAGTGCAAAATCAAATTGAATTAAAGCACTTTTAACTTCCAAGATTGATGATTAAGACGATGAAACCACTGTAAGTCAGCATCGACAACAATCAAATCGAGTGTAATTAAAATCTTCCACAAGAATCCAATCCAGTGCAAAATCAAATCGAATTAAAGCATGTTTACCTTCCAAGAATGCGAGATTGGTGATGAAGATGATGAAACCCACTGTGAGTCAACATTGACAACAATCAAATCTATCTAATTAAACCTTTCAAAACAATCCAATGGAGTGCAAAATCAAATCGAATTAAACCATGCTTTTACGCAAATAAATCTGATATCAACTTCCAAGATACGTGATGAAGACGATGAACCACTGCAAGTCCCCCTTTTCCCAATTCATTCACAGTAAAATTTTGGTGGGAAAAAACAGATAGAGCCGTCTGGCAGTTTTTGAGAATTGATTTTTTGATATGTGAGAGAAAAGTCAAAAATTACGGTTTGAATTGGAAAATAAGTCAAAAATTACGACTTGAATAGGAAAATAACTGTCAAAAAAATCAATTTTTTGGAGTAAAAATTTCCTACCAAATGGGGCCATAGTTTCGCCCTTTGCGCTGTTAATAAGACTAATAGACCTTTCAGCACAGTGTAGGTCAAATAAATATATTGGGCCTGTTTTGCAGCAATTTTTTTACCAAAAAAAAAAATAATAATTTTTTGATCGTTATTTTATTATTTCAATCGTCATATTTGATTTCTTCTTTCACGGGTGGACCCCACTTTTTTCCTAACGATCAAAAAATCAATTTTCAAAATCACTCTCAAACAGGCTCATAGACGCAATTGTTTTCTTTTTGAAAAGTGAGAGAATCAAATACCTATTTTGTAACTAATTTACTTATCATCCTTTGAGTCAGTCACGTGGAATAATAAATTAGCCAACCGTGAACTCGATCCAAACCAATCAAATTGACACGGATCAATTTTTTCAATTGGGATTTCTCAACACATAATCTCGATTTTAGTATTTTATTTAAATGAATTTAAAAGAAAATACTTAAAAATTGACCAAACTGACCCTACTTGAATTTGCTTGAATCGATTTCGAATTTTATCTATTGAACTTTAAGATTGAGTTTTTACCCAACCCGACTCTTTCTATACTATTATAGGTCTTTTATCATTTGATATGCTCTTCATACATTGTTTTCTTGATTCATATATCAAATTGATGTTGATGATTATTAAAAAGAATCGTTCAATACTATTAAATTTAAACTAATTTTAGTTAATTGACAAAAATGGAGATATTAAACAGTGATTGTTTGATATAGAACAACAACGCTCAATCTTTTTTCCATATATTGATTTATTAGATACTTTATCGTGGAAAAATACAATTTAATTATTTTTATGTATCAACAAAAATGCCAATAATTATGTTGAAATAATACACACATGTAGGTTTTTTAGAATTTATTTTTCAATACTAATAACAAGTATCAAAATCTTAAATCATTTAAAAGCGAGAAATATAAAAGCTCGTATGAACCATATAAAATTCCTTATTTTTTACTAATCATACAACACAAGTTCAATGTTCTTACAATTCCCACATTCCTGCGAAGAGGACGTAGTACAAAAACTACAAACTTCTAATTTATCGTAGCGTCTAATCTCATAGAATAAAAGTTTACTGAACATGCCCTTACTTACTTAACCATAATTGAAAGTCCATTCCTTTGTTCACAAACTTCCGCCAGCTTCCATCCAAATCAACTTCCTACGTCTTCGTCCAACTAATTAAGTAATTTCATTAAGTCAATTATTTCAGTTTATCGAAAGAATCGACACAAAGTAAACTAAACCCCTGTTTGGTACTCATTTTTGGAGCCAAAAATGCATTTTTTCCGTCACATCAGCACACAATTTTTGACTTCTACACTCTAATGGGGGACCCGCGATATGATGTTTAAAATGCATTTTCATCTAAAAAATGTGCACCAAACGGCCTATAAACTTCAAAATATTAATCTTGAATTGTTCAATTATATATTGTTCGTCATAATTTACTGATCACGTTCCACTCCTCTAAAAGACATGGGTGGTGAAGCTTCAATCTTAAGGATTTAATATGGAGAACAAGATAGAAAAAATTAGAAGTCAGAGGATACATACATGCTACTTGCTCATTCTCCCACAATGAACATATCTTAATATCAATGAGTGTATATTCTAGAGTGCCTACTGAAGTCATTGGCTTCTATTCGAGGCTAATGATCGTGTGTCGTGGAGGGATCGTCTTTCACATTCCCTAATTTTGCATATTTATATGGTCATAAACTTGTTGCTTATGATTTTCTGGGATAAGATCGACTCATTCTCCAGTGAGCTGTATTGGCACATCCCATTAACTTTAGCAAAGTGATCTCGGGCTTCTCATTTTTTCCTACCTGCGAAACTGTGGTTGTGGGAACGACTTATCCTGGATATCTCCATCGAGCCCAAGTAGATGTTTAATGAACTTTCTGAGCGCAAACTGCTGCCACATTTCAACATTATACCAGTTTGGCCAAATCCATTTCATGCCAATCTGGTTATCTCAGCAAGAGCTGAAAGGAAACATCAAATTTGATCAGCTAAGTAAATTAATCTTGTGTTTCTATAAAAATTGATGACATAAACAGTTAAAATTCAAAATATTGAACATAAATTTCATATATTCATTAAGTCTAATACACAACAACCTTCTTCTTTTATTCGGGCTTGAGACCAGCTATTATTCGACATAGGCAGAGTTAAAATTATACAAGGAATAATTAATTAATGAATTTCTTATAAATTTATGCATTATGTTATTTCGTGTACAACTTTTTAAAATTAAAAACATCTGGTTACTAAATCATTTGCACTTATAATTTGTTCGAAGATATCAAACTAATTATAAATGTGACACGTGGCCAGTTCCATTTGCAATGTCTTCCTGATTCATCGAGGTGAGCTATGACCTTAACCCTTGTCATGGCCCCTAATACTTGAAGCTCCTTTACTGATCAGAAATCTTTATTGCAAGAGCAAACTGTGTAGCAGCATCACAGGGAGAATATGGTAGCAAATGGATGTTACCCTGTATCGAATAACACAACATGGGCCGAAGAATGTAGTATTTTAGCCAGAGAAACATTTTCACTTGTACGTGTTGCATTATCAACCAACATAAGAAACAAGTAAATTATTAATTCTGTCAAATCATCCTAGCCAGTAGCCATTTAGCTCTGCCCCATCCAGTTAAAACTTGCAACTGTTAACAACCCAGAAAGACTAAAGCAGATGGAAACTTTAGGTTGTAAATATAATAGAATTTTGAACCCGAATGATTTCTATTCCTAACAAAGTTCACAACATACGGTTCAGCTTCTGAATAAGTTCAGATGCATGTCTCGGATGAACATGCTTTCATTTCATTCCACAATCTGCATTTTCACGGTCTTAGAACTGTTGCTTATGCATTTAGGACTAGAATATCATGAATCTTAAGTCAAAAAAATTATCATGGATATCTCTGACAAGTCTGGATAAATATCGGATGAACTTGTTTTCAGTCCATATTTTCAAACCAGCTCATATACTGCTTCATTTCACCTTGGGAACTATTTTCTAGCCACTGGATCCATGCCAATCTGATCATCTCAAGAAGATCTGAAAAGAAACCCATCAATTTGGATCAGTCACAGAAATTCGAAGCATGGCTGGGCACATTAAGTCAAGAAGTAGTGGTGTCAAAGCTGGGCTAGGTCAATGTTAGGGTTCTAACTGGAAGAAAAGAAGAGGAAGAAAAGAAGAACAGAAATTAATAACAGATATTTGATTGAATTGCAGAGAATTACAGGTAAGTAAATGATAAACAAGACTCCTTTCTTTCACTCAATATTTGCCTATCTTCTACCCTCCCTTCTACCTTTATTTATAGCAATTTCCTAACTAATTCCCCTCCCCACTTACCTGTAACAGAATTCTGTTGCTGTCCCTGCTTCTCAAGTCTTCTGGGCTCTTCTAGAATTGAAGGCTTATCAGTCAACAAGGTTACACGGCCTATGTGCAGGCCGAGTTGTTTATCCATTATATATTGAGTTCTTTTAGTAATAAATAATACAAAATGTTTTGTATTCAAAAGATTGAAGTACGGACCAAAACTAAACTTAGTTTATTCTTTAAATATAAACACAACCCTCCTCTTTTATCCGGGCTTGGGACCGGCTATGATTAGTCATAGGCGGAGTTGAAATTATACACGGAATAATATATTATGAAATTCCGTGTACAACTTTCTAAAATTAAAAGCATCAGAATAATTATATCATTTACACTTATAATTCCTTTGAAGATACCAAAGGAAGTATAAGTGTGACAAGTGGCCAGACCCATTTTGACACCACTATTAAAGTTACGAGAAAAATAAGTTCGATTCTGCTAGACTTAAAGCACAAAATTTTAGAAATCAAAATCAAATGGTAAGGGCTGAGAACAGATTCTATGTCTAAGTTCTGTCCAACTAAATTCGGCAGACCATTAAGGAAAATTCTATTAGTTGGTCGGTTTAAAACCAACAAATATCAGTAATGAGATAAAATTGAGAACCTTTTGACAAAACTATCCACGGATGATCATGTACATCAATAAATACAATCAAATTGAATCAAGAGAAACCAAAAATTTGAGGATGTTACTAAAAGAAAAGAAGAAGCATTGTGTCATATTGGATAAAAAAAACAGAAAAAAATTATTCACAATCACATCAACTCTTTGTTCACGAACTGAAGAAATGCAAGACTTGAGAATTATAAGAACAAAAGTAGTTTCAAGCAAAAAAATTAACACTAAATACCTCTGCAGAAAGCTGACATCATGATGTTTCCCTTCCAACACAGCCTGCAAAGTTACTATTTCATCCTTTATTTTGTTGAAGACGTTTGTACCCCACTTCAAACATTAATACTTGAGGATCCTTTACTGAAGAAGCATTTTAGAAGAGCAAACTCTGTAGCAGCATTCCAGGGAGAAGATAATAGCTGTCTCATTTAAGGATTTGCCGGTATGAGACTACATCATGGAAAAACTAATTATGAACTTGTGAATAAAAATCTTCTATCTCAGTTTCTTCCAATTCATATTCACGGTTCATTGCCAAAATTCTTGTTTTCTAATGAAGTGTACACAATGCATCCTTCGTTTTGTTGAAATATTGTACCCCTCATCAACACTTGAAGGTTCTTTACTGAAGAAACAACACAGATCCCAAGAGCAAACTCTGTAGCAAAATTCTGTGGAGAAGATGATAGCTGTCTAATTTGCCTGTACTAGTTGATCATATACTGCATCATGGCGAAATAAATTATGAATTTGTGAAAATAAATAAATAAATAAATAAACTTCAATCTCAGTTTCTTCCAATTCATCCTCATGGTTCATTGCCAAAATTCTTGCTTCCAATTAAGCGAAAAATAATGTTACTGTTGCATTCTTTGTTTTCTTGAACATATTGTACCCCTCTTCAAACTCTATTAATTGAAGCTCCTTTAGTGAATAAGTTTGCAAGAGCAAAATCTGTAGCAGCATTCCAGGGAGAATATAGTAGCTAATGGATGTCACCCTCTATCGAATAGCACAACATTGGGCAGAGAATGTAGTAATTTAGTCAGAGAAACATCTTCACTTGTACATGTTGCATTATATAATAACATATGAAACAACCATGTTGTTGATTCTGCCAAATCATCCTAGCCATTTATTTCTGCGTCATCCAGCTGCTAACAATCTAGAGAGACTAAAGCAGATGGAAACTAGGTTATAGATATGATAAGAGCTTTGAACCCAGACGATCTCTAAAGTTCACAACATACGGTTCAGCTTCTGAATAAGTTAAGATGTGTCTTGGATTAACTTGTTTTTGTTTCAATTCCCCTAATCTGCGTTTTTACATGGTCTTAGAGTTGTTGCTTATGGATTTCGGACTAGAGTATCATGAATCTTGGTTAAAATAACTTATCTTAGATATCTCTGACAAGTCTGGATAAATATCAGATGAACTTGTGTTCAGTCCATATTTTCACATCTGCTAATAAACTGCTTAATTTCACCTTTGGAATTATTTTCAAGATACTGGGTTCCCTTCCATGCCAATCTGGTCATCTTGAGAAGACCTGAAAAGAAACCCATCAATTTGGATCAGTCACAGAAATTCAAAGCATGCTTCTGTTTTTATAATAATTACAAGTAAGCAAGGCACATTAGGTCAAAAAGTAGTGGTGTCAAATGAGTCAAGCCAGGTCAACAAGGGTACACAGTCTGTGTGCAGGCCATGTTGTTGGTCCATTGTTTATTAAATTTTCTAGTAATTAATAATACAAAATGTTAAATTTGGAAGATTGAAGCACCGAACAAGAACTAAACTTAGTTTATTCCTATTATCTAAACACAACCCTCCTCCTTTATCCGGGCTTGGGACCGGCTATGATTAGACATAGGCGGAGTTGAAGTCATACATGAAATAATATGTGCTATTTCATGTACACCTTTTTCAAATTAAAAACATCAGATTCATTAAAACTTATAATTTAACTGAAGATACCAAATAAATTATAAATGTGACAGGTGGCCAGACCCCATTTTGACACCACCATATTAAAGTCACGAGTAAAACTATGTTCAATTCTGCTAGATTTAAAGCACATAATTGTAGAAATCAAATGGTAAGAAAGCTGAGATCAGATTCTCTGTCTAGTTTGGGTCCAACTAAATTCGGCAGACCATTAAGGAAATTTCTATTAGCTGGTCAATTAAAAACCAACAAATATCAGTAATAAGATGAAATTGAAAACCTTTTGACAAAGCTGTCCATGGATGATCATGTACATTAATAAATAGTATTAAACTGAATCAAGATGGTATCTAAATAACTTCAAAAAAAGAAACCAAAATTTGAGGATGTTACTAGAAGAAAAGAAGAAGCATATTGTCATATTAGATAAAACACACAAGCAAATTATTCACAATTGCATCAACTCTTTGTTCACAAATTGAAGAAATACAAGACTCTTGAATTATAATAACAAAAGCGGTTTCATGCAAAAAAAAAAAATAAAAAAATAAAAAAAAATAATAATAATAAATAAATAAATAAATTACCATCCAATACCTCTGTAGAGAGCTTACATAGTCATGCTCCTCCAAAACAGCCAGCAAAGTTATTATTTCAGCCTTTGTTTTTCGAAGATGTTGAACCCCTCTTCAAACGTTAATAGTTGAGGGTCCTTTACTGAAGAAGCATTATTGAAGAGGCAAAATTTGTAGCAGCATTCTAAGGAGGAGATAATAACTGTCTCATTTAAGGAATTGCCTGTATGAGTTGATCATAGACTGCATCATGGCAAAACTAAGTATGAACTTGTGAAAAAAAAAAAAAAAATTATATCTTCTCAGTTTCTTCCAATTCATCCTCACAGTTAATTGCCCAATTCTTGTTTTCTAACAAAGCGTTCGCAATGCATACTTTGTTTTGTTGAAATATTGTACCCCTCCTCAAACCTAGCACTTGAAAGCTTTCTACTGAAGAAACAATACTGATCCCCAAGAGCAAACTCTGTAGCAACATTCCAGGGACCTCATTTGCCTGTACGAGTTGATCATATAGTGCATCATGGAGAAATAAATTACAAACTTGGGAACAAAAATCTTCTATCTCAGTTTCTTCCAATTCATCATCATGGTTCATTGCCAAAATTCTATCGCAAGAGCAAACTCTGTAGCAGCATTCCAGGAGAATATATTAGTCAACCTGTATCGAATAGCACAACATTGGGCAGCAAAATGTAGAAATTTAGCCAGAGAAACATCTCCACTTGTATTTGTTGCATTATCAATCAACATATAAAACAACCATATTGTTAATTCTGCCAAATCATCCTAGACATTTAGTCTTGCCTCACCGAGTTAAAACTCACAACCGTTAACAGTCTGGAGAGACTAAAGTAGACAGAAACTTTAGATTATAGATATGATAGAATTTTGAACCTGACTGATTTCTATTCCTAGCGTAGTTCACATCACACGGATCAGCTTCTGAAGAGGCGTGTCTTGGATGAATGTGTTTTTGTTTCATTTCACTTGATCTGCGTTTATACACGGTCTTAGAGTTGTTGGTTATGGATTTAGGAATAGAATATCATGAATTTTGGTCACAATAACTTATCTTCAGACGAGTTTGGATAAAGATTAGATGAACTTGTGTTCGGTCCATATTTTCACACCTGTTATAATATACTGCTGCATTCACCTTTGGAACTATTTTCAAGCCACTGGATTCCCTTCCATGCCAATCTGGTCATCTCTAGAAGACCTGAAAAGAAACCCATCAATTTGGATTGATAGATCAGTAACAGACATTCAAAGCATGTTTCTGGTTTTATAATAATTACAAGGAAGCACAGCACATTATGTCAAGCAGTGGTGTCGAATGAGTCAAGCCAGGTCAAGAAGGGTACACAGCCTGTGTGCAGGCCGTGTTGTTGGTCCATTGTTTATTGAGTTTTCTAGTAATTAATAATACAAAATGCTAAATTTGGAAGATTGAAGCACTGAACAAGAACTAGACTTAGTTTACTCCTATTATCTAAACACAACCCTCCTCCTTTATCCGTGCTTGGGACCGGCTATGTTTAGACATAGGCGGAGTTGAAATTATACGCGTAGTAATGTAATACATAGATTTCTATGAATTTGTTATTCTGTGAACAATTTTTTTAAAAATAAAAATATAAAATTAATTATATCTTATACAATTATTTCAAATTGATTGGCTATGGAAACTCTTTGCTGTTGCCCTCCACCAGTATTAACTCCCCCTTTCACCAATCTCACTTAAGCCACGGCCCTAGAATGGAATAGCCGAATCTGTAGACCAGAAGTACATGTCACAGTATTAACTCCACCCCCACACTCTCTACCTTTCACCAATTCTTATTTAGGGGCAGCCAGTTCTAAAGGCAAGGAGTAAACCATCAAATATTCCATAGAAAATTCAACAAACTATTGTCGAGAAAATCACTGTTGCATAAGGAATATTACCATCAAGAAACAACAAATCTTGAAATAGATATAAATTCTAATGAGCTAGAAGGAGAGAGTGGCTATTAAAACCGAACGGGTGTCAAAGTTAAATCATTGACAACAATTAAATTGAATGTAATTAATCATTAACAAGAATCCAATCGAGTACAAAATAAAATCAAATTAAAGCATGTTTATTCAAGATGCAAGATTGGTTGTGAAGACGAAGAAACCACTTCAAGTCAACATTGACAACAATCAAATCGAGTGTAATTAAATCTTTGACAAGGATCCAATCGAGTGCAAAATTAAATCGAATAAAGCATGTTTTTACACAAATTATCTGATATTACCTTCCAAGATTAATGATGAAGATGATGAAACCACTGTTACGTCAACATTGACAATAATCAAATCGAGCGTAATAAAATCTTCCACAAGAATCCAATCGAGTTCAAAATCAAATCAAAATAAAGCATGTTTACCTTCCAAGATTGCAAGATTGGTGATGAAGACGATGAAACAACTGGAAGTCAACATTGACAACAATCAAATCAATGTAATTAATTCTTTCACAAGAATCCAATCGAGTGCAAAATCAATTCGAATTAAAGCATATTTACCTTCCAAGATTGGTGATGAAGACGATGAAACCACCGTAAGTCAACATTGACAACGATCAAATCAAGTGTCATTATATTTTTCACAAGAATCCCATCGAGAGAAAATGAAATCGTATTAAAGCATTTTTACTTTACCTTCCAAGATTGCAAGATTGGTGATGAAGAAGATGCAACAACTGTAAGTCAGCCTTGACAACAATCAAATCGATTTAATTAAAGCTTTCGCAAGAATCCAATCGAGTGCAAAATCAAATTGAATTAAAGCACTTTTAACTTCCAAGATTGATGATTAAGACGATGAAACCACTGTAAGTCAGCATCGACAACAATCAAATCGAGTGTAATTAAAATCTTCCACAAGAATCCAATCCAGTGCAAAATCAAATCGAATTAAAGCATCTTTACCTTCCAAGAATGCGAGATTGGTGATGAAGATGATGAAACCCACTGTGAGTCAACATTGACAACAATCAAATCCATCTAATTAAACCTTTCCAAACAATCCAATCGAGTGCAAAATCAAATCGAATTAAACCATGTTTTTACGCAAATAAATCTGATATCAACTTCCAAGATACGTTATGAAGACGATGAACCACTGCAAGTCCCCCTTTTCCCAATTCATTCACAGTAAAATTTTGGTGGGAAAAAACACATAGTTTCGCCCTTTGCGCTATTAATAAGACTAATAGACCTTTCAGCACAGTTTAGGTCAAATAAATATATTGGGCCTGATTTGCAGCGATTTTTTTACAAAAAAAAAAAAAAAAATTGATTTTTTTATTGTTATTTTATTATTTCAATCGTCATATTTAACTTCTTCTCTCACAGGTTACCCCACTTTTCTCCTAACGATCAAAAAATCAATTCTCAAAATCAGTCTCAAACAGGCTCATAGACGCAATTGTTTCCTTTTTGAAAAGTGAGAGAATCAAATACCTATTTTGTAACTAATTTACTTATCATCCCCGGAGTCAGTCACGTGGAATAATAAATTAGCCAACCGTGAACTCGATCCAAACCAATCAAATTGACACGGATCGGGTTTACCACCCTTCGTTCAATTTTTTCAATTGGAATTTCTCAACACATAATCTCGATTTTAGTATTTTATTTAAATGAATTTAAAAGAAAATACTTCAAAATTGACCAAACTGACCCTACTTGAATTTGCTTGAATCGATTTCGAATTTTATCTATTGAACTTTAAGATTGAGTTTTTACCCAACCCGACTTTCTCTATACTATTATAGGTCTTTTATCATTTGATATGCTCTTCATACATTGTTTTCTTGATTCATATATCAAATTGATGTTGATGATTATTAAAAAGAATCGTTCAATACTCTTAAATTTAAACTAATTTTAGTTAATTGACAAAAATGGAGATATTAAACAGTGATTGTTTGATATAGAACAACAACGCTCAATCTTTTTTCCATTTATTGATTTATTAAATACTTTATCGTGGAAAAATACAATTTAATTATTTTTATGTATCAACAAAAATGCCAATAATTATGTTGAAATAATACACACATGTAGGTTTTTTAGAATTTATTTTGTTGCCTGCTTTACAAAAATTCTTTTTGCTTTTATTTTCTTAATTTCACATTCAAACCATTTGGACTTTTTCAGTGTTCTTCAATAGCCAAAAATTAACAGTAGTCGAATATCACACCGTCTATTCAAACCATGGACGTGACTTGAATATGGAAACATCCATATCTTAGGACTCTTCCTTTTAGTTTCGAGATGAAAAAATTCCATAACATAAAAGGACCCTTTCTCTAATTCAAACCAAACTCTTTTCATATATAAAGGATACATAGTGACGCGTCTTCGTCCAACTAATTAAGTAATTTCATTAAGTCAATTATTTCAGTTTATCGAAAGAATCGACACAAAGTAAACTAAACTTCAAAATATTAATCTTGAATTGTTCAATTATATATTGTTCGTCATAATTTACTGATCACGTTCCACTCCTCTAAAAGAACGGCATTGCACTCTTCACCCAATTGAAATCACAAGTCATATATAAACAATAATTCTATTGCTTAACTACTTGTTCTTAGAGCACCATGTATAATATTGATCGTAATTCGTTAATTCAAAATTACTTTTGCGTTATCATTTATATCCATTTGAATCTAAATCTAAATTTTGTTCTAATGAAAAGATCTAAATCTTATTATTATTATTTACTTATGAAAGTAAATATTCTTATATTTTCTACTGAAAAATACAATTTGTATTTTCTTTGCATGTCTCAACGTATTACTCCTTAGATCATATCAGATATTTGAAAAAGTACCCTTTTAAAAATATACATAAATCATCAATTCTTATTTTCTACTTGACATCATGTGCTCACATCGTAATATTAATTCAACGGTCAACATCGAATTATTGAGCTCAAATTTAACTTTCTACTAGAATATCAATTAAGGTCGTGATCGTGCATATTGATTAGGTTATGAATTCCACATCGCGAATTTATGACCCAACACCGGCGGATCCAGCACTTGGCGAGCCCTCGCGACTACGCGTGCTGGATCCGTCGAGAGCTTTTTTTTTTTTTTTTTTGCTGAGAATAGACAAATATTTAGAATATATTACTGATAAGTCATTTTTGTTTCAACGGTTCCTTCTAGCCAAGTTGGCTAATGCTTGCATTTGTTTCTTAGATGTCTCGAGTTCCAAACTTTTGTCCACCAGTATAACATTTTTAGTTATACAATTTTTACCAAAAACCTCAATGAAAGGACCAAAGGGGAATCGAACCTGTGAGCTTTTCAAAGATATATTGAAATTTGACCATTATGACACTTGTTGAGTTTTAACATTAAATTTAAAAAAATAATATATGTTAGATTTTAGCGGTTAAATTGTAAATTTCTAACATCGTACTCTTCCCTTGAATTATACAAAACAATAATGTCATTTGGTAAGTACGATTTATTCTTATAACGAAATTTTATACGTTGAACTTCAACTTCAACAAAATAATTATTTTATTTAAATTTTAAGCCTTGTTTGATTCCCATTTAGTTTAGAATATATTTTTCTTTCCCTCATTTTCGATCAAACATTCTTCAATAAAATAATATTGCACGCAAATTCAAATTTTTTTCTTATTTTTAACTGCACATTCTCCATCAAATCACTACTCCAAAATGCATTTTTTGCAAAAAAAATTACATCAAACGAGCTCTTAATATTTTATTACAACGACGGTCCACGATCAACGGTCAACAACCGCCCGTACTAACTTAACATTCTGGATTCGCCCCTGTGTCCCACGTTATTTCACCGTAATTTCCAAAGCATTGAAATATCAACAAATAATTTGATCTTATCCATTGACATATCAAAGAATTTTAAGTTACTAATCAAAGTCCATTAACCCCTCAAAATTAAGGTCCGATATATAAAATTTAAATTGCGATCAATTGAATTTCACATAACCCAATTCAATACATCCCAAAGTATATCATCAATTTGATTACCAAAGTTAAAGATGAACTTTAATAAAATTCAAACAAACTTATCAAAATAATGCATTCATCCGTATATACTAATCGTGGTAACTCCATGTAGCTCAAAGAAAGTCATTGAATTCCTAGAGATTTGGCAAGCAAAGTAAAGATGCCCAATCCAAGTAAAAACTCCTCGTAAGACTTGTTGAAAAACCACTTATCGGACTTGATTAATTGTCCTCTGCTGTCTCAAATTATAAATTGAATCGTTCTACGCTAAACTTAAGCGTTTGACTTATATTATAAAATTGATGAACAAAAAAAGCTCAAATTAGTACAAACAATTTAAAATAAATTCATATTTTATTTTAAAATATTATGAGTATAAATAAATTTTCTGGACAGCAAAAACCTATCCAAAGTCAACTACGTATCATAATCAAATTGCTTCTATTTCAGGCTTTTCATAACCGAAATCACTTTATGATTGATTATGGAAACACTTGTATTGCAAACAGAATACTAAACTCTGTTTGAATGGACAGCAGAAGAAAGAATAATACAAAAATTATCGCCTTAGTAAATAAACTGTTTCAGCTGTCAGCTGACAAAAGAACGTAAAAATTCATTAGTTTTCTTCGGAAACCTTGAAAAATGTGTACGAAAGAATCAAGTTGTTGATACCGTCCATTCTAGGATCCGTTTCAAACTCGGGGACAATATAAAAGAACACCTACAGATCGAAAAGTAGAATTGTGTAACAAGTCTCCAAGAGCAGCAGCAACAGTTAGCTAGAAATTGAAGAAGAAAACTACTTACAGGCATGTCGATCTGCTCTCCAGGGAGCAGTCGCTGCTCTTCAAAACAAAAGCATTGTATTTTGTTGAAGTAAACTGCAGCCTGAAATGTGTCACTATTCAACTATTTGCTTTCTCGAGGTCATATATAGAGAATGTAGAACAAGTAGAATTTTCCACCGCAAATAAAAGATATAAAAAAGAAGAAAAGAAAAGAATGATTCAAATTTTTATTTTTTTATCATCTTGCAGAGTACCAGACAAACATAATCGAATCTTCTGACCCACATTGAACAATGTCACATTGGCATTCATCCCAAAAATATGAATGTAAAAATAGATTTTTGATACTTGTTAGCTGAGCATTAGAGTTTATTCAATACATAAATATTAAAAAAATGTCCAGATAAGCAGGACAAGCTTGGAGTGATGAACAGTCAAATGAAAGGATTACTCTGCAGTATTAAGTCGAGTTTAAAGCCTTCTTGATACTAGGAAAATTTCCCATTAACAGGAGGATATGGAGGAGTAAGAAATTTCAAACCAGTGGAAAGTACAATGGGTGATACAAAAAGGGAAAAAAGTTCATTGGGTGAAATTAATATTTCAAGATCATTCCGGCGTAGAATTTCAGTTTGCAGTAGACAGTAGTTGAAAGCCATTGCAGGTTTTTGCCACATCTATGAAATGGACTTTAAAACAATCCTATGGAGCATCCCCTATTAGCAAATAGGGGCACGTTTTATATGACACTACGTATAATTTACAAGTGGACAAGGGTCAGTATGGAGATGAGAAACAAAATGCAGAAGAAAAAATAGCAAGAAAAAGAAAATGGAGAAATTTGTTTGCATTACAGTTGTGCTGTAACGATATACTGACGAACAGATTTATAGACTAAATGAAAACTAAAAGAATATAAGAGAACCTAAATCAGAGTGACAGCTGAAAAGAATTGATCAACTGCATCGATGCCTAGATTAAACTCTTCCTCAATGCAGTCCCCATAACAAAAATAATTTGAATATCTTAAATTATCTATGCCCCAAACACTTCTCTGGTATCACAGAAAGGGAAATATTATGCCAAAGGGACCCATTAAGATCCACCGGAACCTAGCTTTTTTACCGTCTTTTTGGAGAAAATTGTAACTTCATATTAAATTGGTGCTAAACTACGAATTATCTTGTTTTAACTCAGTAAAACAAAATGATGACAGGAACACAGAATGACTTTCACATCAGGCCTCAAAGACGAACATCATTGGCAACAGTTCAACCTAACTAATCCTGGTCACCCAACCAAAATTTTGAATTAGAAGACTCCAAAATAGTTTGGAAAAATATCTAAACAAGTAACAGGAAAGATTATAGAGAAAATAGAAATTCTGAGAGAATAATAAGCTGAAGCATTTGAATATGAACTATTCTTGGGTGACAACCCCCTGGACGTCCAGGGGGTTGTCACAAGGGCTTTAGCCTTTGAATATTCATACCTTCATTGGAGTAACATTATAAGTAGATACACCAGTAATGGGGGTTGAACTTCGATTTTCAGCAGTGTAAAATGCAAGGGCACTCTCTCCTGGCTTGACCCTTACCTGAAGCCAGATACCATAGAAATGTGATTAAACATCCCAACCCATGTAATATACCTGCACATGTTCTGCCAAAACAAATACGAGCAGACACATGCACACACGAGGTCGAGCAAAGACAAACATATTAGTTCATATGCATATAACAAAAGCACCTCTCTCTGTGTTGGAACAAACTTCCAGGGCATTCCATCAGCCACATCAGCATTGAACTGCACAATAACATCACTGTAAGAACAATACTTTGAAGTTACCCAAACATGATGCAAATAATGCAAAATTCAAGAATTTTTTATCAATACTCTCTATATTCTTTGAAGTTTCAACCCACTCTCATCTGTTACTACAAGATGAAAACAATGCTTTTAATTTGACAAACCATCTCTTATTAGGACCAAAGAAGTGGATGTTCCTAGATCTGGTGGACCAAGAATCAGAGGCAAAATGTGGGAACAAAGCAAGTTGATGATTGAATGGTGAAACTTCAAACTAAGGATTTATTATCAAGGCAAAGTTAATCAGAAGAAGATATATATTTTATCTTCCTCCCTTCTTGGAGAATCACTTCCCATCTAAGCAAGCTATCATCTTAATCTTAATAAAACAACTCATTTAGACCTTTCAGGATCTTAAATCTGGAGATCAAGATAGAGAAAATGAGAAGTCAATGGAACAAACGTGCTTCTTATCCACAAAAATAAATCTTAATAGTAGTCCATACATATTAAATCACTGGCATCTGTTAAAGTTAACGATTATTTTTGCATTGGAATTCTACTATTTCTGTTTACTTTAAATTTTCCTCTTACAAACTTTCAGATAAAAATATTATTTTTGTCCTGTTTATCTCCCATGTATCTTTCTTGTTTACAAAGATCCAAATACTCTTCTAGCAAATGAAGGAAATCCCTTAAATCTTTTAATGAATGAAGAATGGCAAGAATTGATTTATAATTATTCAAGCAACGAAAGCCTCACCTGGATGTAAGTGTTCCTTCTTTGGCATGGCGAACTATCTTTTCTTCAACACTCTGCATAAAACGAAGATATTGAATCTTTGTGTCAGAAAGTCATCAAAAATAAAATAAAAAAATAACTACACTACGAATCAAGAGAGGCTATTTCACCTCACGACGTTGAACAGTGCCTCCATAACCAGAAGCCTGGCAAAACCTCCTGTATAGAGGAACTGCAGCATAACTACACCCTACCATTGTAAAAACCAATCCCATCAAGTACAAAAGCATCTTATTCGATTTCTGTTCCGGGGAAGCCAGACTAGCATATGGATGTTGGAGACTAATCCAAAAAGATGACGTCTCCAAGTTGTAACTCCTCATATGCCCTCTATTATTTTCACTCACCGAAATAAAGCTCCGATACTCAGTCCGGAATTCTCGTCCATATATGTTACAATTATTGGATCCATACAAATTGTATCTTGGAGCAAATGCCTATATTGGAAATCATAACATATGTATAAATAACTTATTCATCTACAAAAGAATACATAAAAAAACACTGAAATGTTAAATTTATGATATGTATAAGAATAATTCCAAAAACTAAAACTAAAAGTCATGACATCAACTACCTGGACTCGATGGGGGGCTGACGAATTGGTCTGTTGAGGTAGGAAGAGAAAAGGGTTTCTCTTGAAAGTCTGGAAAGCAACATGCTCAGGAAGAACGGATTGTTTTAGATATGCCAAAAAACCATTCATAGCATCTGCAGCAAAAACAGTTTGCACCTAATTAGTTTCCTGGAAATGGTGAGTATGCTTAATGTTAATCTTCTATTCTCTGGTTTGAAAATACTACAATCTAAATACTTACAATTTATAGCCTAGAAATAAAGAGAAAAGAAGAGTAAATTACAAGGACATAATATATAGGACCTCTAAGCCTATTATGCTCCTTTTGTTAACATTCATAGCATCTGCAGCAAAAACAGTTTGCACCTAATTAGTTTCCTGGAAATGGTGAGTATGCTTAATGTTAATCTTCTATTCTCTGGTTTGAAAATACTACAATCTAAATACTTACAATTTCTAGCCTAGAAATAAAGAGAAAAGAAGAGTAAATTACAAGGACATAATATATAGGACCTCTAAGCCTATTATGCTCCTTTTGTTAGTAAATGTTAGCTGAATTTATTGACCCCATTTACCCTCGAAGATTAGAAGAGCAATGAGCATGAGCTGGAGGCCACCAAGTGTCACATGCAGATATTGAAACGAACTCAAGCTGGGTATTCTTGAACTTTGGATCCAAAGTAACCTCATTTAACAACACTGCTACAACCTATCCTAGAATACGCTTGAGATCAGATTTTTATTTGGAAAAACAATTATACCCTCATTTTCAATTAAATGAAAAAGACAAAAAGATAGAAAAATAATTTCCTCTCTGCTGACCCACCCCCAAACCCCAAACTGGCAAGGCAGCAATTACACTTAACTCAATCATCAATTTAGTTTCGTTTAATATGCGAGGAGCAATTTCATTTAAGTCAATCAGCGACGATTTCATTTGATTTGCAAAAAGCAGTAACTTTTTACAACCTTATTTTTAACTCAAGCAGCAATATTTTGCAAGAAGCAGAAATCAATTAGATAATCCGAAGTGAGCAAAATAAAAATTGGCCGGCTCTAAAAAATGGTAATCTACAGCACCAGCAAACGAAATTAAAAACAATAAGTATTTTTAATATCATTCAGGGAAAAAAAAAGAATAACAAAAAAAAAATAGTACCTCGTTCCAGGGAAAGGCAAACCGCAACTACGATGCTGCAATTCTGATTATAATTGATGCTGTGTATGAATTAGGGTTTAGAATTGGTATAAGAAACTCTCCCTGAAGCCGCTGAGCTCTGAATCTCAAGATATTGAGTGCTTAAAAAATGAAAGGAAGAAAGATAAATTTACTTTTGATTTTTGATTTTGCCATTTTTGTTGTAAAATACTTATTTATTTTAATAGTACACCAAAGATAAATTTACTTTTGATTTTTGATTTCGTAATCTACAGCACCAGCAAACGAAATTAAAAACAATAAGTATTTTTAATATCATTCAGGGAAAAAAAAAAGAATAACAAAAAAAAAATAGTACCTCGTTCCAGGGGAAGGCAAACCGCAACTACGATGCTGCAATTCTGATTATAATTGATGCTGTGTATGAATTAGGGTTTAGAATTGGTATAAGAAACTCTCCCTGAAGCCGCTGAGCTCTGAATCTCAAGATATTGAGTGCTTAAAAAATGAAAGGAAGATAGATAAATTTACTTTTGATTTTTGATTTTGCCATTTTTGTTGTAAAATACTTATTTATTTTAATAGTACACCAAAGATAAATTTACTTTTGATTTTTGATTTTCCCTTTTTTTGTTGTAAAATACTTATTTATTTTAATAGTACACCACATTTTCAATTTTTAACACATACATCATTTACCGTAGATATTTACATGCAACTAAGACTAAGCTTAGCTAAATATGCTTATGATCATGATCATGCATGTGCTCTTTGTTGGACTCTGAACTCTGACCTAACTTAAATATGTATATTTTATGAGTGCCTAACTTGTGTAAAAATTCAAATTGAATCACAGAGGTCAACTCGAACCAATAACAACTATAATTCTAGGAGACATAATAATTATAGTTCCTTGCCACACTGTTGAACCATCCAATCCTCCAATCAATGAACAACACTCGAAAGAAATGACACGAACACCTCCTCTTTTCCACCAATCAGTTTCCATAACTTCTTATCCATAATCAGCTCATCATTCTCAGGCAATGCAACAAGATCCACATCGTGATGACCTAATGAAAGTTGACCTCATCAAACCAATCAAAGATAAGATCACGTGCTCTTTGTTGGACTCCGAACTCCGACCTAACTTAAATATGTATATTTTATGAGTGCCTAACTTGTGTAAAAATTCAAATTGAATCACAGAGGTCAACTCGAACCAATAACAACTGTAATTCTAGGAGACATAATAATTATAGTTCCTTGCCACACTGTTGAACCATCCAATCCTCCAATCAATGAACAACACTCGAAAGAAATGACACGAACACCTCCTCTTTTCCACCAATCAGTTTCCATAACTTCTTATCCATAATCAGCTCATCATTCTCAGGCAATGCAACAAGATCCACATCGTGATGACCTAATGAAAGTTGACCTCATCAAACCAATCAAAGATAAGATCATTGGCGCGCCTTTCAAGCTCAACACTATAACTGATTTGATTGACAAGGCATAAGTCCGTCAATAAGTATCTTTTCTCCCTATAAAAAGAGACGAAAGGCTCCCCCCAAAGCCAAAGCTTGGCTTACTTGACAACTTCAAGACAAACACTCTCATTTTCATTTCTCTTCCCCGTGGAGTGATTAAATACTTGTAGTTGGGAATTGTTATCAATTAAAACACCTTTTATCATAAAGTTGGACAAAAAATTATCTTTACAATTTTTGATGTCAACACTCTTATTTTATAAATAAATAAATTTTGAAAAGAAGAAGAAGAGGGTTCTAGAAAATGACCACACAGAATCTGATGAATCCACTGAATATTAGCAATAAAGGAGCGTATTTATACTCGTACTGTCAACTATTGAGCTCCATCAAATTCAACGATTCAGATGAACTATGATTTCCCACTATGTAGAAGCAACATTTTACACAAAATCGCTTTTTCATATAGCAACATTAACTAAAAAATTGGACCAAAGTTTTAGCTTCATTATATGAATTTACTCGGCAATACTGATTCATGAATTTATCAAAAAAACATCTTACATTATTATACTAAAATTCACCAATCACTCATCAACGTCTAAATAAAAAACTTAGCAAATGGCCCCCCGGGGCACGGCTCAACTGGTGGATCAATCAACATTTGTCTTGCTTCCAGCGGTAGGGTGGAGGTTCGAATCTTGGTGGGAACTTGCGGCTAGATTTATTTGGTATGGAGTAATCACTTTGGAGGAGGATCTCTTGTGCGCAGAAGTGTACAGGCGGTGAGAGGAACCTGTGATCCAGTTGAGGCATAACCGGCGATTTACCCACCCCCAGTAATGATGCTTGGGAGGTCCAGGATTTAATTTAGTGTAAGTTGGGATACCTGGATAAAAAACAAAAAAAACAAAAAAACTTAGCAAATGTTACGGTATTTCATTGTCATCATCACATTTTTCAATAATAAATGTATATTAATTCATTGAAGTCGCACACTACAATCACTCGTAGGAAGCTGCAAGGAAGAAATCTCAAGAATAGAATAGATATACCCATTTGAAGTAATGAATTAGAGACTATACAAAATCTATTGATACCAGAAAATTCATTATGTTACTTGCATAATGATTTTTTGGAATTTATGGTTTGAATGGTGACTTGCCATTCCCAGTCTTCGTGGAAAATACTTGTGAAAAAAGTCAATTCAATCTTGCTCTGACGGCAGTGCTTTAGCCCATGTTTGTTGCCTGTTATTTTATATTCTACTCATTCTTAACTACACATTTTTTATTAAAATAATATTACACATCAATAAAAAAAAATTCATTATTTTTTAACCACACATTCTCCATACTACTATTCCATTATACATTTTTCAAAATTAAAGGAGCTCAAATATACCCTTATATTTGTTTACTATTCTTTCTTTATCTTCTTGACCATTAACAAAGATAAAGACAATGGATTAGTGCATCAGTTACCTAAACCCAATCTCTAATTGGCATGGAACTTTTTTTGACTTAATCGCGTGGATGGAGACAATGTTACTTTGTGCGCGCTAATGTTTGATTTTAACCTCAACTTTTTATTAACTTTTTAAGATAATTTGTGGTTGTAAATCAACCGCTAGCAAATGCTCTCGTAGTGTTAGTTTCGAAGCTCAAGTTTACCGATTGAAGTGCTTGATTTTCATTTGATGAGGTGATTCATAACCAAATGATCACCCATTGCGTGAACCATTTGAGACAAGCAAAATTTTCAGGACGATTTAAATCGCATTGTAGCGATTGCTACGGCGTCTTGCTACTTACTTGTGTCAAAGCTAGCTTAGTTAGAGATAGCAAAGTCAAAGGTAAGATATAGTTATTTTAAACAAGAACTTGATTATTAACTGTTTGATTAAATATTACTCGATTGTATACATAATTATTTTATATCATTTTTTATTTATGAAGTTACCAATGAAAGTATATATACTTCACCTAAAAATTCAATATTAAAAATAAATAAATAAATAAAATAAAATAGGCGAGAACTTTCTCCATATCCTTTTGGTTATTTTTTTCCTTCTCTCTTTCATAAAGAAACGGGATTTAGTTTTCATTTCCCGTTAAGTTTGGCACGACATTTTTGACTATGGAAACCCAAATAATCGACCGTTGAATCCAATAATCCTCAAACGGTCACATTCAACAACCCTCTCTCTTTCTCTGCCCACACCAAGCCCACACCTCAAAATCTATAAAATGTCTTCATTCATTAATTTCTTCAAACACCTGTGTTGTTGTGTAAAATCATTCAACAACTCAATGGAGAAAATTCTAGAATCCCCTCCCAAAACTCTCACAATTCAAACAGAAAACTCCATTCCAGACCAAAACACACCCCCTCCAAATCAGAAATCTCAGACTCCTCCTATCTGCAATTCTGGCAAAGCCGGCACCCCTGACCGACTTAAGGTTCCCAAGGCATTCAAATACCAGGAAAAGTACCTTGCTTTTCTCTTACCTTTACGCTGTTTTTACGTTTGCTAGTCGAGTTGTGATTGGTAATTTTATACTTTGTTTTGGTAGGTATACAAGTCCAACTGATAGACTGATGTCCCCTGTTACGAGAGTTCTTCTTGCTAGAAGTAAAAAGGGCAGCAAGATCTTACCACCCTCTACAAATCAGCCCAAGGTATAGTTCAAAAATTGAAGGTGCCTTCAATAATGATGTAATGACTATTTTTGTCTTGTGATACTACAGATTCAAGCCCTAAAACTTCAGGATGTGGGTTCATTCCAAGATTGAAGTGTTCATTAGATGAGCTAATGATTCTTGATTTTGTTATTTGTTTGGGGGATTGGTGAGGTGGGTGGACTAAGTGGGGTTTTTAGAACTATTGATGCATAAACACAGTTTCTATTGTGTAATTACATGTTTTATACACAATGAGCAAGATTTTAACTTACTTTTACGAGCAAGATTTATTCATTCCATACGAACTTGGTACCATTGAATTGAACCGACATCCCCATCGATTTCAAGTTCACAGACAGACGTGACTAGGTATTGTACAGCATCATCAATAGTCTCGTATCTTGCAAGATCAGGCGGCAGTGAGCTCCCGGGCCAATTTTCTAGCCATTCCTTCAATCTACTTCGGAGTTCTTCCTCGGAAACAAATTCTTCATTCTTACCAGGTTCCATTAAGACATAAGTATCTGTCTGTATATCTGCCCTTCTCCTCCTCATCGCGCGAACCTGAAATAAGCAAATCGCACATGGTGCACTATATTTATGGCATATCTGGTAAACTGGATTGGACAACACTAGACCGTACCTTTATAAGATTGCATTGTAGTCGGGCGTTAAGATTGTGAAAAGTTGGAAAACTTGGTGAAGTAAGAACAGTTGGTGAGCTTAAATGAGAGATTGCAGCAGGGAATTTATTGGTGGCAACTTCTTTTACAAATTGTAGATAGAATTTACCGGTAAAATCTTGAAATCTATGGCATAATATCAGCTTCTCCATAATCTTATGGCACTGCTTTGAAATAGGAATTATAGTGCAACTCCTCCACACTTCATAGATTATGGATATGATCTCATTTTAACCTTAAATTCTCCTGCACATTCATTGCCCTCGATTTTCAACATATTTACGAAAAAAGGGGGGGCACATGATTTTTAAGGGTCATCATAAATTAACACCACGACTTTCAAGCAATTTTTTAAATAATGTCCATTAGGTAAAATTAAAATGAACTCGCTATTTTTGGTATATTTTCTTACTTTTAATCACACATTCTCTAAAAAATGCTTCTCACAAAATTTATTAATAATCTACATCAAATAGGCTCAAATCATCTCCTTTCTTTTTATACTCAAACAAAAAATTATAAAGGGAAAATTGCAATAGAGGGCCCAAACCTTAATAAATTAGCAGACTTTCCCCAAACATTTAATTTATTGCAACCGTCACTCCAAATCTTTCAAAACGTTGCGGCGGAGGCCCTTTTTGGATGATTTTCATCCAAATGTCAGTTAGATGATTAAAAAATTTGACTTTAACCATATTTTTAATATTTTTGAAATGATAAAATAGTAACTTTTGATTTATTACATTAAAATAACCTAGAAATTAAATTAAAAAAAAAAGTCGTCTTCTTTCTCTCACCCCGCCTCTACCCACCCCCAGTAAAATGACTTCGACAAATCAACATAAATAAATAAACAAAAAGTTATATCCACATAAGTAATTTGTAAGTCAAAAATATGTTTCTATAATAGTTCAATAATTTAATCAATCAGAATGGCACTCAACTATTTTAATGACAGTAGACAAAGCTAAGAACAAGCGCACATTTCGCAACCATAAGTTAAAAACAAAAGATATTCTGAAGTTCTTCATGTATCATTTTAGCCTTCGTGTATCACAATGTTATTGGCAACTAAGAATGTGACTGTTGAAGTTAAAAACATACCACCTAACACCGTTAAATCATTAAGCTCTGTTCAAGATTATCATAGGTGTAGACTATAAATAATAATTAAAAGCTAAAAGAACAATTAACATCAAGGCATCATGAACACACACGGAAAAAAATCCAATAATAACCCTTCATATGACCTCCACACACACAGCTATATTGAAACCCTAAAACAATTAAGAATACCTCATTAAGAAACCAGGAGATTTCGTTGGAGGGGACTACGTGGGTGGACCTGGTAGTAAAATTTTCACCTTAATTTATTTGTCTACTTTGTACTAATGTGTTTATCATCAAGGTTGCAGTTAGTTTAGCAAAAGTTCTTTAACCACTACATTGTTATCGTACAACACAGGAGAATTGATATGACTATTTTAGAAAATTTAATCGTGATCTCCTATACAATTCATAGTGCACAATAAGAACATAAATCCAAATTCGGACAGGCAAAACAAGATGTGCATTGCAGCCAGACTAATCAATTCATTTTTCGACAATTGAGTCGAACTTGGCCCATTGGTGCAGTAAGGACCTGGAGATTGGAGAATTTGTTTGTCCATTAGCCAAAGTACCTTTGGAACAGGGAAACATCAGATTCAGATTCTCGGACCCCAGTCTCGATTTCTTTCCCTGCTGACAAGCTGCTGATCAAGAAAGAATAATCCTTTGCCTTTGAAGAAGACTGTAGTAAACCATACCAAAACTTGTTCTCGGCCCCTCATAGTTCATCTGTTGGGCTGTGATGCCAAGGTCCTGTCCAAAATAGGCTGTGATGATAAAAAAGGACCAATATGGAATGAGATGGCCCACTTAACCAAGCCCAATAATTTAGCCCACTCTTAGTCGCTCTGGAGCCGTTGGATTAACCCACTGATCAATGGCTGGTGGTTTTAACTATAAATAAGACCCTTTTCTTTGACCTAGAGATGGAATTGTCATTTTTTTTCTCTTTCTGGAACCTTCAAGGGCTTTGTGTCTTTGTGATTTTTCATCTTCTCTTTGTGAGATTATCTAGTGATTATTTTTGTGATAATCCAGTCCTTGATTTAAGAACTCTCTGTGTGAGTAAACTGTTGTGAAATGGTTTGTCCATTTTTGTGTTCCATTGTAGCGCTCTGAAAGTTGGGATTGTGAGGATCTATGGTTGAGTTGGGTGCCTCTATGATGTTCCTTAGAGGTTTATGGTCTGAGCCTATGAAAGATCAAAACTAGATGCAGTGGTTTTATATTTTTCTATAAAGTTCTCTATTATATTTGTTGTACAGTTTGGATCTTGAATTAATAGTGGTATCAGAGTGTTGATAATTTGTTCTTGAGTCTTCGATCGGAGTCCGAACACTGGAAAATCAATTTTCAGACTTCAGATCGTGAAACCTTAGGTCTCAATCTATGTTGATCTGGGGGTTTGCTAAGCCGATCGATACCTGGACCGTGGAAAATTGAGAAAGTCTTGTGACTTTTGGCCTCAATCTGGAAAAGAACCCTAATTGAGATCCTGTGGGTTCAATCTAAAACTGGAACTCTAAGCGCGAACTTTTACGAGTTCGACCTGCTATTGGCAACCTGGAGAACATTCATCCTTGCTGAAATAACAGATTCTTGATTGTTCTTGGTGGTTAAATGATTAACCACCCTTCAGTTTGCATTTCCTTGACTCTACACGATTGCGCACACACATAACACAGTATATACATGTTTATACCTCTATCTTGATATGTTCCAACTGCTGTATATTGTAGCTACTTGCATCAATGCATGGTATCTCATTATACTTGTCTGTGATCATTTGATTGGGTGTTTCAAATTGAGCCTTGACCTGAGAACTTTGATTCTCACGGAATCCTGGTGAATTTGATCACTCTTGTGCTCCTGTAGACTTTTATTTGTGTACCTGAGATATTGATTCCGCCTATTTTGTATTAATTCCTTGGTTCTTGTATTGTTTACATTGATATAATAATTGATCTTGTTATTGTTGAAATTTCTTGTAACTAGAAGTAATTGTGATTCATTCATCTGATTGCATTTTATTCTTCTGTGATCTAAAACATCATTTTTTGCAAAGGTCAAATTCAACATACTTTCAAAAGTTGATCATCTGTCTTGTTTTAATTTTTTGGAAATATTGTTAGTTTCTTTTGAACTTGGTGTTTTTTATGGAAAATGAGATTTTTTCATTTGGTAACAAAAAATGCGAGGTGTTTTAGTTCAGCAAAAAGTTTCTAAAGCAATAACAGATGAATTTCCTGACACCATGACAAATGATCAAAAGGAAGAATCTTATGACCTTGCTTATACCTCTATTATTCTGCATTTGTCCGATCAAGTTTTAAGAAAAGTAGGAAAATATGATACTGCTAAGGCCATGTAGGATGAACTAGAGAAACTTTACCTACGTAAGTATCTGTCTAATAAGTTGTTTCTATTAGAGAAATTTTTTAGCTTTAGGATAGACCCTACTAGAGACTTAGAAGACAGTATAGACATTTTTAATAAGTTAGTTCAAGATATCATTAATACATGCGAGAAAGTTTCTAATGAGTATAAGGTTGTAGTGTTACTTAATGCTATACCCGACGCTTATAAAGAGGTTAAAGCCGTCATTAAGTATGGTAGAGATACTTTTACACCTGATATTGTCATAGACTTTTTAAGGAGTAAGGAACTTGAACTTAAGTCTGAAAGAGGTAATAGTGGGCCTTGTTTGTTAGAGGGAGGACTCTAAGTAGGTCTAGTGGTACTGAGAAGAGCTATAATAATCAGGGAAACGATAATAAGAGAAAGTTTAAAAGTAGAGGCAGGTCTAAGTCAAGGACTAGGATCAAAAAGTGTTATGGGTGTGAGAAAACTGGACATTTTATTAAAAACTGTTTTAAGAAGAAAAATGAACAGAAAGGTAGGGGTGTTGAGAAGGAAATGTGGTAGAATTTGAAGGTTTTACCACAGTAGATGTATATGCTGTGACTGAACATTTACCTAACTCTATAAATGTTGCAGAAGAAGGAAATTAGAACCAAGAATGGATCTTGGATTCTGGTTATACCTTCAATATGACCTCTAAGAAGAGCTGTTTAGAAGATTTTAAGAAAACTGATGGAGGTGAAGTGGTTATAGGTAATAATATAGCCTGCAGAGTTGAGGAAGTTGGGAATTTCACTTTGAAATTTGATAATGGATATATTTACACCCTTGAAAAGGTTAGGAATGTCCCAGAATTAAATAGGAACATAATTTCCATGGGAAATCTGGATGATATGGGGCTGCAAGGAAGGATATGAGATGATTTTTTGAAGGTGATAAAGGGATCACTTGTTATTTTTAAAGGTGTTAAAAGAAACGGGATATATGTGGTCAAAGCTAGTACAGTGGTTGACCACATAGGTGAGTCTTCTAGTGTTGAAGTTGATGTCACTTTGAAATAGCACAAGAGACTGGCCCATGTAGGGGAAAAGGGCCTACATATCCTTTATAAGAAAGGTGTGTTTGGGAAAGACTATATATCTAAGGTGTCATTTTGTGAAAACTGCACTTTAGGTAAGCAACATAGGCTGCATTTTAACACAGGAAAGCATAGAACCACCTCGGTCCTTGAGTATATACATGCTGATTTATGGGGGCCTTCATCTACTATCACTCTAGGAGGAAATATATATTTCTTGTCTTTGATTGATAATTACTCTAGGAATATTTGGGTTCATTTGTTGAAACATAAATCTGAAACCTTTGAGAAATTCAAAACTTGGAAGATTCTTGTGGAAAATGAAACTGGGAAGAAAATTAAGACTCTTAGGACTGATAATGGTCTAAAGTTTTGAAATGCTGAATTTGATCAGTTGTCCAAAGAGGCTGGGATTAAAAGGCATAAAACAGTACCCTATACACCTCAACAGAATGAAGTGGTTGAGAGGATTAATAGAACCTTACTAGCTAAGGTTAGGTGCATGTCGATAGGTTCAAGTGTTCCTGAGGTTTTATGGGGTAAAGCGGTAATAAAAACTTCATATATTGTTAATAGGACCCCCTCAAGTGCTCTAAGTGATAAGACCCCTGAAGAGTTATGGACAGGACATGTGCCTAATTATTTCCACTTAAGAATTTTTTGTTGTGCTG